TAGTCATAGAATATGACCAGAGAAGAAGTCGCTTCGCTATCATCTCAGACTGGATTGGTAGGGTGATGTGTCTGGCTCCACTTAAAAACCATGCCAGGGGGCTGGAAAGATGGCTCAGCACCTGCTGCCAAGCCCGATGACCCAGTCTCCACTCCCAGGTCCCCACATGCTGGAAGGAGAGAACTGACTCCCCCGCCCCCCAAAAAAAGCCTCTGACTTCTACAATGAGAAGCATGGTGCCCCCAGCAACCCCACATAAACAATAAGAATGCAATTATAAAATAAACATGCCAGAACTGGCCACAGTGGCACAGGCTGGTCCCTGTTGCCCCACCACTCAGGATGTGCAGACAGGAGGTTCAGCATTCTATTCAGACTGGACTACACAAGGAGACGCTGTTCTCCAAACACACATACACGGCAAAAAAAACAGAAACACCGTGTCTAGATTCACAATCACCTGTAAAAAATTAAAAAAAAAAAAAAATCAAAAAAAAAAAAAAGCAGGCGTAGGTGACATAAACCAAGATTAAGGGTCTAGAATTGAAGGAGAACTAGCAATCTACCTCCCTCCTTACTCCCACACACACACACAAAAAATTGTTTCTATGCTGTCCTGGAACTCACTATGTAAACTAGGCTGGCCTTGAACTCATAGAGATCCACCTGCCTCTGCCTCTGCCTCCCATGAGTACTGGGATTAAAGGCATGCACCACCATGCCCTGCAAATTGTTTATGCTAATATTTAACCAAAAGAAGAGTCTAGAAGAAGGCTTGTGGGCTTCAAACACAGGCTGACCCACTGGCACATGTAAGAGATTAAATTTGATTGTTACAGGCCCAGAGAACAAAATGGGGGCCAACTTTTGGCTCCATACAAGACCCGATAGTCTGAACTGTACAAAGAAGGAAGCGTTACATAAGGGGTAGTGAGTGGCATCCAGTGTCGCGGTCCAGGGCACCAGGGATCAGGACAGACACAGGACAGAAGGACTCGCTATTTCAGCTAGAGCAGCCACATCTGTCTGATTCACCTTTGGAGAAGCAGCTCAAAGGCCTAAGATAACAACCAAGGACATGAGATTGCCTGCTGAGCCAAGTGTCTGTCCGTCCACTGACTCCTGGTGAGCTGACAGACAGAAGTATCGACGGATCCACAGATACAAAGCAAGGACCATGCTATTTCCTTCCCGTTCCAGTCTCTCTCGGATCTTGCTGTTTTATCAGCAAATGTAAGAGAGAGAGCTTGAGATTTATATCTCAGAAAATTCAAACAGGCTCATTAAAATATTAAACCCAGTGTTACCACATAACCCAGAAATTCCCTTCCTAATTATCTGCCCAAGAAAAAATAAGAATGTACGTCCACACAGAAGTGAGCATGTCGGTATAGCATTATCCACAACAGGGGGAAAAATCATCTTAATTAACCCCGTTATTGTGCGTACTTAATATGTGACGATTAAAAACATCTTTTGGGGGCTGAGGGATGGCTTAGTGGTTAACAGCATGTACTTGCAGAGGGTCTAAGTTTGATCTCCAGCATTCAGGTCCGACAGCTCAGAGACATACGCAAAAATCCAGGTGCAAGGGATCAGACACCTCTGGCTTCTACAGGCACCTGAATTCATGTCACATAACCCTCCACAGAAATGCACAGATGCAAAATTAAAACACATCTTTTATAAAAACATTTTTTTTAAATATTCAGAATCCACAGAGAATGAGAGGTTGTCAGGGCCTAGGACAATGGGTCCCAGTTGCTAACAGTTACTATGGGCACTTTTTTGGTGTGGTAAAAATATTTGTTTCCCAGACCTATAAAAATGAATTAATAAAAAATAAAATAAGGGCTGGTGAGATGACTCTCTGGGTGCTTGTCCTCAAGACCTGAGTTTCATCCCTGATGTCCACATGGTGGAAGGAGAGAACTTACTTTCTCAAGCTGTACTCTGGCCTGAGCACACACCCGCATGCACACACACAACTACATAAATAAATGTGATAAAAATTAAAAATAAAACAAAATAAAAACTCTTTTTAGAGGATAGCTAAGGCCCACTTTTCAGAACACATTTTCATTACAACATTAAGAAGCAGTGTGTGGGGCTAAGGACGTGGCTCTGTGGGTAAACCATGCAAGCACGAGGACCTGAGTTTGAATCCCCAGCACCCACTGTAAAAGTCAGGTGCAATGACACACACCTGTACCCCAGAGCTGCAGGACGGGAGATTGCTAGCCAGCCATTCTAACCAAAGCAGCCAGCCCCACATTCAGTAAGAAAGACCCTGTCTCAAAAATGAGGCAGAGAATGATAGAGACCAGATGCTGACCTCTGCCCTTCACACACATATGTACTAGCCTCCATCTGTGCATACACACGTACACACACCATGCCCCCACACACACACACATACACATGAACACATATGCACCTGCACCACATATGCACACACACACCTGCATACACATACTACTCCCCCATATACACACATACATGTGCAAGCACCTATACATGCATACACACAGGCACACACATATGTGTTTGAGAGTCCCAGCTCACTTTACAAATTCTAAATATTTAGAAGAAAAAAAATATACACAACTTTAACTTGAATGAGTGAGCAGACTCCTAAATGACGTCCACGGGCAGTCTCTTCAGGAGCCTGGAGGCTTCTGAACTTCCGAGTTGGCAGCCAGTAGAGACCAAGTACCAGGGGACAAACAGTTGAGAGGCAAGCTTAGAAATCTCATTTCTAAGGGAAGCGTCTCTCACTGATGTGTCTCCCACCTGTACTTTGTCTTCTGGCCATCCAGTCGGTAAGTGTGTGTTGCCTCTTCTGAGATGATACAGTACAGCTAAGACTTCTGAGGCCCTGTCAGTTTGAAAAGCATGAGGCGAGAAGGACATCCGAAAATGTGTGAGTTCACATATTACCCCCGCTAGGACCTGGCCGTTGTGATGTAAATCTCTACTTTTAGAGGCAAGGACCCTCTTCCCAACGCCCCTAATGAATTACTCAATGTTTCATTTAGTTCTTTTTGAGATGGCATCTCTGTGACCTGCTGTTTCGACGGAATTGAGTCGTTGTAATGAACTGAATGGTATTCTTTTACATCCTCACTTCATGAAAACCTACTCACTAATCTCAGGGCACCACATCTGTTGCCTAAGACATCTCCGGATAACAGCCATTTCTATCCCCCAAAGCCTCTTTGGTTTTTAAACTTTCATCATTGGAATAACTCCGAAAAAAATAATACCGCGGGGCTAACTCTCCAAGGGAAACAAACTCAACAGTTGTTTGTGTGGTTTTTAAAGTGCCGTTCTTGGTCTATTTTAGAGCTATTTTTCTTCAATTTGTCACCTCTCCAGCATGTAAGAACTGGTTTTCAGCTTCCTAGCCAGATCTTCATTACCAGACAAATAGTAAGTATCTCTAAGCTGGCAGTTGATAGAAGGCAAGAGACCGAAATACTTACAAATAGAACAACTTCATGAATGAGCTACCAAAGAACCTGGGTACCCCACCCTGATAAGCTGCTCCAATAAAATCCCCGTGCCCATTTTCATACTCAGAGTCAAACCGTCAATAATATGTCCACATAGGAGGTATGTAAAGGCTCTCTTTGTGCCTGGCTAGCATTCCTTTCTTTGAGCTTCATGCCTCTCACAAGCAACACAATGAGAATCCACCAGAACCATGCTAAAGGTTGTACCTACCTCGGACAGCAAAAGTAGCTGTTTAAATGTGATTGATTACCAGTCAATTAAGGAATCTATTCAAAGTGCTAATTGAAGAATCTATTCAACCTACCCGGGAGCAAAAACATTCCCACAAGTCTATACTATAAAGTGTCCCAGTGGCCGGTGGAATACCAAATACAGTCTATTTGCCTCACATGAAAAAATCATAAGCTGAAAAACCTAAGTATATGTAGTCATTAAAAGAAAAGGGCAAATTCCACCAGACCCCCCAAAAAAAAAAAAAGCAGTATATTGAGTGAATCAACCCATTGGTTCCTCTTTACTGCTCAGAGATAGCTCTCGTTTGCAAACAGGTGGTACTAAACAAGAAATGTTTCCCTGGATGACAATTACAACTGCAATTGTAAATGTTCTCCAGTTGTTCAAGGGTCTAGAATTAAAATTTATCCTGACTGCACTCGAGCAAATTCTGTAAAATCCACATTTCATCCTTTAATAAACTTCTGATAAAGCAATAACTCCCAACATGCAAAAAAAAAAAAGTGTGGTAAACTTTTTTGTGCATGAATTATCGCACATCATGTTCTGATAAAATATGCAGAGCGCAGTGAAAAATCTTTCCCAACCCTGCTAGAGAGACTATAAAATCTTTACAGCAGGCATGATTCTATATATTTTTAAGATGCCATATTGGTAGCGATGGATGTCTCCTCCCTATAAAAACTGCCACACACATACTCACGCACAGGGGGAAAAAAATCTAGGATGAAACAAAATAAATAAGGTCTAATACTTTTAAGTCAGGTCCACTCTGGCTCTGGAGCACATTAAACCGTGATGATTCCAAGTGACCTCAAAAGGATTCTGGAGGTCCATCTGCAGCCAGCCCTGCGTGCATCCTGAAAGGGTTTTGTTCCGGCAGTGATTTGTTTGCCGAGTTCTGTATCCAGCACGGTCCAAACAGATGTGAGTTTGGAAGCGAAAGAGCAACACGTCCTCGGAACGCCGAGGTTGTCCGGGCCTCCCGGCTCCGGGGTTCCCGGGCTCCCGCGCTCGCTTCCCGCCGCTGCATCCGCTGGGGCTCTGGGAACCACAGATCCGCCCTCGCCGGGAGCTCGGGGTGGGCATCGGGGAGCCCAGGAGCCCGCAGCCGGGGAGAAGCGCGGCCCCGCGGCCCCAGCACAATGCGCCGGCGGGAACCGGAGCGACTTGGCGCGGCCTCGCCCGCGGCCCCGGCCTGGCCCTCGCCGCTCGGTCCCCGTCTCCCCGGTCCGCCCGCCCACGCTCACCGTTGCAGAACTGCAGCAGCGAGGAGGTGTCGTACAGGCTGCTGTAGCTGGAGAAGCCGTCCTCCATGCTGAGGCCGGGCCGCGCCCGCTCCGGCCGCGCTCACCCACACACTGCGCCCTGCCGAGCCGCCGCGGCGCTGGCGCTGGGGCCGGCCCTGCTGTGGCTGCCGCCGGTCACCATGGCAACCCGGGCCCGCCGCCGCCACCGCCGCCGCCGCCGCTGCCGCCGAGAACGAGCACCCGGCGCCCGCGCTGCCCGCGAGGGGGCGGCCTCGGTGGCATGGCCGGGAGGAGACGTGGCGGGCGGGGCGCAGAACTGGGCGCGCCTGGGTCCCGCCTGGGTCCCCGCCCTGGTCCCCTCCCTGGTCCTTGCTCCTATGATCTACAGCTAGAATGCCCCGGGGTGGGGGGTGGGAGATAAAAAGCAAGAAGGCAAGGGACGCTTGCAGCCCGCCCCCGGACCCCGGGGACCCTCTTGCCCACCCTTTGTCCCCCCACGCGCTGTCCCCCGGCACCCTGGACAGCTGCTGCACTAAACTTGGACCTCAGTGGCGCTTGCCGCTAGCATAGCGCCTCCCACCGGGCCACTTCCAGTAAGGCCCATCCCCTGGTCTGCCAGTTCTCCAGCCCAGGTCTTGTAATTCAGAGAATCCTTGTACCCCAGGGAGGATCAAGGATGCAGAAAGAAGTTACCCCGTCCTCCTTCCTCTGTGACCAGCTCATATGATGCTGTCACTTTAGACTAAATTGTTACAGACCCACAGATCCGGGCTCACCATCAGGAAGAGAATGTCAACTTAAGAAAATTGTCAGAAACAAGCCCAAGAGTTAGTAACACATCTAGCCTATATATACAAGTACCAGCAAGATTACGATCTGAACCTTATTACCCATGGCCAAAAATAAAGACGCTGCCAAGTGGCAAGCGAGAAAACTGGATAGAAAGAAAGGCTTGAGCCAAGGGTGGGCTATGTCCACTAGAGGTAAAACCCTGGAGTTTGGGGTATTAACTCCCAGACCTTGTATACAATAGTCACGTAATAATAGTGGAATAGAGAGTTATCAGGGAAACTTCCAGCCCTCTCCGGGGCCCTGAAGTCTACCATTCTCACACATCATTAGAGGACAAGGCTGGGAATGGGATTTGTCACTCTGATCCTCAAAGATGTAGGCAGAAAGGATATGGTCACGCCTGGTCCCCCGCCTAGCTAAGGAGCCCACACTTAAGAAAACAAGGTTATTTAGTGAAAAATATGTTGTGGGTGGAGACAGAAGGGCTCCGGATGCTGCTGATTCAACTGTACCAGGTGGATGAAGGACAGCCATGTTGGCAACGATGCAAGAAAGAGGAGAGAGAGTCTGCTGTCAGGCTAGGAGCTTTGGCTTGATGTGAATGAGGGGCTCGTGTTGCAGACATGTGGGGAATGAGATTGGGCTGAGGGAAAGAGTCCAGACAAGAAGCCTGGGGGTTGGGGGTGGGGGAAGGGCAAGACAGACTTTGGAGATGGAAGGACAAACGGAAGTCTTCAGGCATTGGTGGACGGGTAGGTTAGAGAACTGAGGTTGGGTGTGACCCGGACAGCTAGAGTCAGCACTTGTCAAACAACCCAGTGCGTCTTCAGTGCTCCAGAGATGAGGCACCAGGAGCCCTGCTGATCAGAGGGAGGAAGGATGGAGGATGGGCTGTAGGGAATTCACTGTAGGACAGGCCCAGATGGAAGAAGAAGGTCAAGTCAGGACAGCAAATCTTCAGTTAGGACTCTGTGGCAGTTGTAGTGACAGAACCGGGAGACCCTGGCAAAGGGATCACAGGGTGAACCTTCTAAAGAAGAAAGCAGAAAGTTGGCGAGGTGTTGGTATCAGAGCGGTGTCGAGGCAGAGAGGGGAATGCGGAAAGAGCAGCCAGGAAACCAGCAGCTCAGAAGAGGAAATGGCCTCAGGAAACTGCCAGCACGGAGCTTCCAGGAGGTTGGCACCATCCTCCCTTCTCTGTAGAGCGGTATCTACAGAGGATCAGGCTAGAGGAAAAACCCTTGTGCATGGTAGTGACAGAGGCCTCCAGGTGACCTACAGCACCGTGGAGAGACGATGTAGGTGGGAGGTGGATTCCTGGATGACTGTGGGTGTGCATGGTCCACAGGCGGGAAAGGAAAAGAGACCAAGCATGGTTGGCAGATGGGTGACAAGACAGTCTTCACTGTCCCCTACCTGGCACTCGCGGCTCCTCTAACTATAAGAGAGCAAGTTTCCGAAGGGAGAGATTTAATACCAGTGTGCACTCACTCTAAGCCCCTCGACTTCTCATTTCCCTGTTCCCCTCCCGGCCTTTATGCTCTCTCCTCCTCGATGCTTTGCAGAAATACTTGAGGACATGCTGGATAGCTGGAGTGAAAAGCCGAGCTGTGGGGCTGGGAAGGTGGCCCAGTGAAGTAAGCACCTGTTGCTCGAACGCGAGGCCCTGAGTTGGAATACTCAGGGCCATATCAAACTAGGTGTGGTAGTTCCCCTGGCAGTCCTAACATCGCCACAGTAAGATGGGAGACAGACACGGGGCAAAATGTGTGAGTTGATGGGCCAGCTAGCCTGTCATGTTCAGTGCTGAATGACAAGAAACTGTGGTTCAGCTTTTAATCCCAGCACGCAGGAGGCAGAGGCTGGTGAATCTCTGAGTTCAAGGCCAGGCTACTCTACAGAGCAAGTTCTAGGACAGCCAGGGATACACAGAGAAATACTGTCTCAAAACAAAACAAACAAAATAAACAAAACAACAACAGCAATGGAAGGAAGGAAGGAAGGAAGGAAGGAAGGAAGGAAGGAAGGAAGGAAGGAAGAAAGGAAGGAAGGAAAGAAGGGAGGGAGGGAGGGAGGGAGGGAGGAAGGAAGGAAGGAAGGAAGGAAGGAGAAAAAATGAAGGAAAGAATCTCAAAAAGAAGATGAAATCAGAAACTGAGACCCAAGGTTGTCCTCTGACCTCTGTAGCACACCACCACAGTTGCATGCCTGAACAGAGCACGCCCAGTTCACTTCTAAGCAGACCAGGAGAAGCAGAGTATGCCCAGTTCGCTGCTAACCAAAGCAAGAAATTTTCTTACAGGATATTATTTCCACTGGAGTGAAATTACAAATAATAGTTCATTCAGAACCCAGGCCACTTGTTCCTGGAGCAGTAAAGACCATGATTACACTCTTACCCTTGGAGATTAAACAGTTGTGGTTTTCCCACAATCATAAAATTTGGGTCAAAAAAAAAAGAGAGAGAGAAATTTAGAATAATTAGAAGGATATACATTGTAAGTCAATTAGGTATAATCTAGACAGCATTTTAAAAAAGGATCTAAGATGTCCAAGAAACAAATCTCTAAAAGCTTAATTGATAATGTGTGATTTTTTTTGTGCCCAAATATTTTAACAGACTATTATTCCATGTCACTTTGAGATAATTTGTGACCTGAGCCCAGAAAATGTTGTCATTGTAATTAATGAGGTAGACTCTGTAGGACAATGTAACCACAGTGCTCAGAGGAATAAATACCAGCATTTGTGCAAAGTGAGAGAGAGAGAGAGAGAGAGAGAGAGAGAGAGAGAGAGAGAGAGAGGAAAATGGTTGTTTTGTAGCCTTTATTCATAGAGAAACAATAAGAAAAATATCGCCCAGAAATGTGAAGCTGTGCATACCTATTGTTTCATTCAACACTCTCCAAAAATATCCGCCCAGTGCCAGGCACCACACTTAGGGCTGGGAATGAATGAAGCACAGAGAACACAGTGCTGTCGAGGGAAGAGGAGGAGGGAGGATAGAAGAGGGAGGAGGAGGAAGAGGAAGAGGAGGAGGAGGAGGAGGGAAGAGGAGGGAAGAGGAGGGAAGAGGAGGAGTAGGATGAAGAAGGAGGAAAAACCAGAAATTTCACTTTTGTGAATACATTTAAAAGAATTGAAAGCAGAGATATTTTGTATAGCTACATGCATGTTATGTTATGTATATCCACACGCATGCCATGTATATCCACATACATTCCAGGGTCATGTATATTCACATGCGTGCCAGCACCATGTATTCCACATACATTCCAGGGTCATGTATATCCACATGTATGCCAGCACCATGCATATCCACATGCATGTCAGTGTTAGGTACAAGAGCCAGAAGGCGAGGATAACCCGAGTATCCATTGGTGACAGGCTGGATAAACAAAATGCAAGGTATCCACAGGCTGGAATATGTTTTCAGCTTTAAAAGGAAAGGAATTCTGACACCTGCTGCTGCATAGTTGAACTTTGAGAACATTATACTGAGTGACGAAGCCAATCCCAAAGGATAAATACTGTAGGGTTCTACTTGTATGACCTTCCTAGAGTAGTCAGGATCAGAGACAAAGGGGAAACGACTGATGGGCGTGAGACTTAGGAAGCTGCTGCCTACTGGGGTTGCAATCATGGTTTGGAAGGATGAAAGTGTCCTAGAGGGCTGGAGATGTTGCGTGGTAGTCAAGAGCGCTTGCTGAGCAAGTCTGAGGGCTGGGCTTCAGATCCCAGCAACAAATAAAAAGCCAGGCGTGGTCCCACGCATGCCTGAAACCCCAGCAGTGAAGGAGATGGAGGCAGGAGGATGCTGAGCCTTAACAGCTGCCAATGTAGCTGGAAAAACAAAACAAACATACAACTGTGAGCTCCAGGCTCACAGAGACATCTTGCCTTAAAGGAACAAGGCCCAGTGATGCCCAATTCCCTCCTCTGGCCTCCATGCAGACATACAAGCACATTCACACCCATGAATGTGCATACACACAATAGATAGACAGACAGACAGACAGTCAGATAGATAGATGATAGATAGATAGATAGATAGATAGATAGATAGATAGATAGACAGACATTTGGTCATGAAGACAGAACACAGCATCTACAGGTAGCAGGACCTCCTCCCACAGCCCTCAGAGAGGCAGCCTTCTAATCTCTAGAATCACAGACAATAGAGTTAAAGTCACCTGGTGTGTGGCATTTTGTCATAGGAGACCTATCAAGCAAATACACAGTCATCAGAGAATCGCAAAGTCAAGGACTGGTTAGTCTGCAGGTTCTACATCCATTCTTGATATTAAAATATAAAATAGAGATGGAGTGTGGTGGGCCACCGCTATGATGCCAGCATTTTGGAGAGTGTGACATGATGACCACACAATTGAAGCCAGTCTGGGCCACCTAGGGAGATCCTGGCTCAAAGATCAGATGTGACATACACAATACAATGTAAGTAAATAAGCATCATACCCGCGCATGATATATGTTCTATGAAATGAGAAACAGAGTGATTCTTAGCATCAGTAAGGAACATTACACTGTGACTTCCTGCCTGCCTGACAATGTAACTGTCTGTTCTACAGCATCCCCGACACAGGGACACTCAGCCCCTCCCAAAGCTGAAGAATCCCAGTGATTAAATAGATTTCTTTTTTCAATCCTAGATGCCCTTGCCAAAACATGGATCCTTTTAGGATAGTTTATTCTGTCTGCCTGCATCATGCCTGAAGCTTCTATGTGTGCAGAAATATCACAATACACCCTGTGTGGTGATCTGTCCCGTTGGCGTCATTGCTCCAGGGCTAAGACAAGGAAAGTTAACTCATGCCATTTCATCCTGTCACCCACCATTACAAGGAAGCACAGATTTTGTGTCCCTGCCTCAAAGGCCGGTGTTGGCATCTAAGATACCCTGCCACACCAAATCCTGATCACAGCTTCCAGTCATGCTTGAGCACTCTGGACCTCACCAGCAAGCGCTCCCTGTCCTGAGTGTCTGTCTTCCTTTTCCATCAACTCTGGACCTCACCAGCAAGCTCTCCCTGTCCTGAGCGTCTGTCTTCCTTTTCCATCAACAACAAGGCTGCCCTGGCAGCAACACCTAGGTGGGGAAATCTCCATGCACATGCCTCACCTATCCCATACAATTGTTTATGTATCTCTGATGTCAGTGTCCTCTCCTGGAGTATATGCTTCTAGGGTTCACCATGACACGGTGTTAAATGAAATAGACCATCTGTAAATACCAGTGAATGGAGGAATGAATGACTCCTCCAGGGAAAAAAAGTTTCCCATCATACACAATAAACTTTCAAATGTGGAAGAGAGGATGCATCTCTCCAGGACAACATTCTCTGTTTGGGTGCCTAGACACTCAGCATGGTCCATAGTTTCTAGACTCCTTACCTGCAGAGAGGCCCAGCCCCAGCACACGAGAACCTCTCTAGCAGGGTGGTTATCCATAGTACCCAGGATACTTTAACCTTATGGATGCAGCTAAGGTTCTCATTGACTTTTTGATGATATTGATGATGGTGATGATGATGGTGTAGCCACAGGATGGATAGAAGCCCATGGCCAATCATCATCCTGTATCAGTCTTTTTCAAACGACCGCTGTCAGATTTTCTCCATCCTGTGCTGAGCTAATTGACTCTCCATTTTTATCTAAAGACAGGATTAATCGTCATTCCTGCTACGTGTCATTTTTATTGGTTTCCATCCGTCATTTTAGCCAACCAAAATCTCTTCAACTCTCAGATCTGGCATATGACCCACAGCTCTGTGACAGGAGTGAGTACAAAGTGAGAAATCCCCAGTGTCTCCTTCATCCTTGTCTCCCCATAAGTGTACTAGCAGAGCAGCTGGGGGAGGGGAGAGCCCTGGGCAGACTGCAGGGGAAGCCTTCCGGACTACTCCTAGGTTGTCCAATGAAAGATAAAGTTGCCCTGGCTGTCTCCTCAGCTGGCCTAATCCTCTGAACCATCCCCGGGATGTCAGGAAAGGTCTCTCCGGCCCTGTCAATGTAGTCTGCCAAGCCCATGCAAAGAGGGAATGGACGGGCTGGCTGTTAATGACAACCTTTCCTACCAAGCATTTCCACGCTAGCTCTTCAAAGATCAGTTGAAAGCTTTTCTCAGAACTGATATTAATATGAAATGTATCATTGTGTCTTTCAGAATCCAACTCTTCCTCCTTTATGGGGAAAATGACAACCGTCTCTCCCTTTCCAGTTTTCTGTCATTCCATACGGTTAAATTAAAGCTTGTTTGTCCAAAGTCAGAGACTGTGTTCATGGTAACTGAGCGACCCTCCAGAGCTCGCTCCACTTGTGGGCGCTTGTGGGATCTTTCTGCTCTCCCTTCACGTTAGGATGCTCATCCTTGTGGAGAAAAAGAAACCCAGAGAGCCAAGACCTAAATACGTAAGCCAGGATGCCGTGTCTTTGGTGGCTCCTGTCCCAAGTTCAAATGTCCTGGGTCTTTATCTCCCACACAGCTCATTTTATGAAGGTGACTTCTGTATTCCTATGAGTCTCAGGGTTAAGAGTCAGAGAGGCACCAACCAAAAAACAGACTGTCTTTCCCATAAACATCTCACCTCACAGCCCCATTACAAAAATGCCGACCCGTTATATTCCCACATTTTCCCGTTATATTCTGTTTACTCAAAGACATTCTTAACAATTTGCATCCATCGAATGAACTCCCGTGTACGGAAGTATCTGAAGTGAACTGTAAAATTAAAAGCAATTTGCAGCTGTTTTTCTCTTTTTAAGATCTATTTCTATTTTCAAGTATGTGTACACGTGTATATCTGTGTACGGGTTTGCGCACATGAACACGGATGCAGGCATAAGACAAAAGAGAATGCTGTGTGTCCTGGAGCTGGTGCTGGAGAATGAACTTGGGTCCTCTGTAAGGGCAGTATGCAGTTTTAACTGCCGAGCCATCTGAAGTCGGTCTTCCTTTCTTTTTTTAAATAGGCCATCACATTGAGAAATCCCGGGGCTGCAAACATGTAAATATCCCACATACAATAACGTAGACACCACGGGATGTTGTACAAGAACTTCAACTCACGCGGTCTCAATGGGACAAGTTCATCTTGAGAACATTTAATCGTCTGCTCCGTCATGTTGCCTGTAGGCTCCACAGCAACTCTTGGCATGCTACAGGCTGACCACCGAGACAACTGCCTAATATCAGAGCCACGCTCATCACAGTGGGCCTGGGACAGCCAGGTTCCTGCCTACGTCCTGGCAAATGTCCAGTTGTCTCCCTTTGACTTGCTAAAGTATTCCAGCGAGGATAATAGATTGTGCGGTCATTCCAGCTAGTGTGGAAAGACTGGGACTCCATCCACATTGTGCGCTGGGAGACATGACTGCTATTCATATGCGCATATTTAAAATGCCGTTTGGGCTGCCTCTAAGCAGCAGAGTTTCAGAAAAACACAGTGAAGTTACTAGAAATCTAAATTTTTATCAGGAAAGTCAAGAAAAAGATCCATTTATGGGTTAGCTTGGAAGTCTTACTTCCCCGGCTTCTATTTGTGTGTGTGCTCAGCCCTGTTGAGCCTGTTCCTTCACACACCCCACCTAGAGCTATCTGTGGAACTGTCTTCCGAGGGTGATGGTAGGAGAAGAGCTGCAGGTCCCCACCGAATGGACCTTTCGTTTGAATAAGAACTGTGGAGATGACAGAGTTCTGGGCCTTCTCACTTAGGCACAAAATTCTAAAGTCTGTGATAACCAATCAGTTTTCAACTACATCTGAATGAAGTTATGAGACGCTGTGGTTGAAGGATCTCGATCAAGGGCCCCATGGTAAATCTTCCATAAGGAAAACGTTCCTACAGAACGTGTCGAGGTGTAAACATGTCTGTGTGTTGGCCATTCCGGTGAGAAGCGTGTGTGTCAGCAGGACAGGCGGCTTGAGAACAAATCTGTAGTCAACCTGTCAACGTGTGAGAAGAGAGGATCCTACTATGGCTGTATTACCAATAATATTACTAATAGTTAATAATATTACTAATAGTAGCAATAGAAGCCACTAAGGACAATAAACAAGATTTCGCTCTAGTGCTAGATGCTGAGATACGATCCTTAATTGCGTTGTATCGTGTATGATGTAGTAATGAAAAGCTTGCTAAGGGCTAGAGAGACCTCAGCAGTTAAGAGTACTAGCTGCTCTCTCAGAGGACCCAGGTTAGACTCACAGAATCTACATGGCAGCTTATAACGGTCTACAACTCAAGTTCCGGGGAACCCAATATTTTCTTCTGGCTTCTGAGGGCACCAGTCACACACATGATGTAGACACACAGGCAGACAAAATACACACACACACACACACACACACACACACACACACATACACACACTAAATAAATCTTTTTAAACACCCAACTATTTCCAACAGATGTGGTAGCAGTGAGCTTGTACCTATCCTGGGGACTCTGCACCAAAGAATTTCACAGGACTTCAGATTTCCTCCATTTACAGAGATATCACCATCTCTTTCCTTCCATCTGTAGGGTTGCTGACTGCGTATGTACACACAGTTGACCCTTGGTTATGTGCAGAAGATACTCTCGGGGCCCCTTACCAAACATCAAAGCCCACACACGCTCAGGAATCCTGAATAGAGAGCCACAGGGTTTCTCAGAACGGATGCATAGCCACCGGTTAACTGTTTGAGCCCCGCACACCAGGCAGGTGCTGTACCACCGATTTCCGCCCCGACCCCGTGCTTAAGCCACACAGAGGTAATACCTAAACATAACTCATCACTATCAAAGCTACATAAATAGCCATGACACTGTATTATTTGGAGAATCCTGACGAGAAGAAAAAATCTGTACATTGGTCTTTTGATGTGCATTTCCCCCTGATAGGTGGTTGACTGAATCCACAGACACAGGTGTCCCACTTATATATGAGAACAGTTATGTCACCTGCTAAGACTTTATTTTTGACAGTAGGGCATCTTATTGTGCCATTTAAAGCAGCAGAAAAATTATTCTCCAAAGAGAGGCATAATTTAGGAAGCCAGTCTGTTTCAGTTGGAAAAAGCACACACATAAACTATAGCATAAAAACATGCTATTTCTCCCAAATGCTGCCCTTTGTATCATAACTGTCCACGGTCTTTTTTATTTTCTTCTCAAGACAGACTTTCTCTGTATAGCCCTGGAGTTTGCTCTGTAGATCAGGCTGACCTCGAACTCAGGGAGCTACCTGCCTATGTTTCTCGAGTGCTGGGATTAAAGGTGTGCACCGTTATGGCTACACTCAGCTTCACATATTATACTCTAAGTGAGCCCGCAAAGCATTTCATTCCAATCCTTCTCGCCATCCCAGCACCTATTCTACAGGTGATGCACACAGACTAGGGAGCTGATGTATGAATTAGGCTCTCTGTCTTCAATGCTATATTTCATTATATTAAGAACATCGCCCGCTCTGAGAATGTATCTTCCACAGTGGAAGTCGGTCTGTCAAAGCTCAACTCTAGTCCCTCCTCAGTGAAGTGAAGAGGGATCTGGGCCTGCCAACTCATAGGAGTGAGGCTAGGTTAATCTTGCTGGTGGCCTGGAACTTACCATACCTGTTGTATGTCAGCCTACCTGCCTAGAAAATGGGCCACATACTGCTCTTTGGGCTTGCCCCCACTTCCCATTTCCCAGGTGGACTTGTGCCTCCCTCTGTTCTCTCTTCTGAACATCCTCTGCTTCTGGTCAACGTCTCAGCACCCAGGACCTGTATGTGATGGTCCTTGTGTGCTCGGTTTAGGGTCTGTACTCCCTAGGAATCAAGACTAGACCCTCTGGATGCTCAGGAGTTAGAGACTGGTCCAAATTGGATCACATCATCACGCTTAGGGCATGCCTGATGAAGATGGTGACTTTGGTCACCCCTTGGTCAATGTCCCCTCGGAAGCTGCATTGCTGACTCCAGAATGGTACTCAATAGATCACAGAATGAGAAGAAAAAGCTTTTTTTTCTTTTTTTTTTTTCTTCCTTTAACCAGTAAAGCTCTTTATGTTACAGGTCTAGATTCCATTTTAAGCTAATTAGTAAACTGCATTTTGGCTCTGTAACTGGCTAGCTTAAATTTAGCTCATCCTTCCCCTTAAAGTCAAGCTGTTGGATGAGGTTTGCAAGATTAGCAATTAAAATCCTAACTCATTTCCAAGAGGATGCAAGCCTCCCCTCCCCGTCTTTCCTATCTTCAGTTTTGGCCCTACCGGGGAGGGCCCCAAGTGGACAAAGCAGATTATCCCTGACTAGCAGAGAATCCAGGAGCCAGGGCAACGCCCTTGGTTGCCTCCTAAACAAGCAGGACCCATGCCCATGGCTGCAAAGAGTCTCTGGTGCAGCTGAACTGCTACCCTCTACAGGATCCCAGGGGGGTTACTAAAGGTTTGCAGCAACCTCCCTAGGTCTATCTGTGTAGGTAGAGCTAGCAGAAGACCCCTGGGGTGCTGGCCATGAGATACTTCAGTTACTGAACACAGGGGTGGGTCCTGCGGGGTCTCAGTAGAACAGCCTGAGCGAAGGAAAGAAAGGTATGTGTGGGGGAAGGGAGACAATATGCAAATACAGACTACAATACAGTCATCATGGCCAACCAGAACACTAGAGCTGAGACTGGGTCCCACTGGGTTCCCAGGGTGTCTCAGAACACCTCGTGAGGAATACAGACAGCCATGAAAGTTTTGGTCACCAGCCCTTCCCTATCTGTGACATTCTGAGAACTGGAGAGAGTTCCCTGGCCCCAGAATCTCACCTCACAGACTCCCAGTCTGCATCCTCTGCACATTGCCGAGACCCTGCTCTTCCTCCTACCCTGCCCCCCTAGAAGCCATGCCAGGGGCACTTCTTCTGACCAGGCTCCTCCTATCATCTCCACACATGGTTCAGAGGTTCCCACCACAGCCCAGCGCCCCAGCCCCATGTAGTCCCGATGAAGGGTAGGAGTGACAGGTAGATGCTCACCCAACCTTCTCGGAGCAGAAGAAAGACACCGAGCCTGGTCCTCCCTGTGCGAGCCACCCGGCTGTCCCTCCTCCAAAGGGAGGCTGGAGGCAGAGCGGACAATGAGCAGACTGTGCCTCTCACGTCCTCCTGGCCGTCAGTAAAGCCATCCATTACGCAAGCTCTAATGAGACCTCTAGACCCCTTGAACTGCTCCAGGAACAGGGTAGGGTCTTGGGGAGGGGAAAAAATCACCTCAGCCAGCCAGTTCCTCTTCCCATCCAGGCTCCTGCTTTCTGACACAAGACCCTGTGTAGCTGGGAGGTGGTATGTAGGGCAGATGGGGCTGCCTCAGGGGGCCGCCTGCACTTAGTGAAATGAGCTCTGGGGCCTGGGAATTCTATTGAACAGAGAGGACTCTGGGAGTGAGGTCCGTACCTCTGCAGACGGATAATTATTCTGGGGAAATCTGGAACCCTTTGTTCTTCCGGCAGCTTAGTCCTGAGCGATGCCCTCCTGCCATGGATCTGACGCAGAGACTCTGGAAGCTTCTGGGTCCTTCCAGCCTAGCCTCCCAGGATGCCAGTCAGGTCGGGGCTCCAGGTGCATAGCCATGGACTAGTGAGGGACACATATGGTAAGTGTGTCAGGAAAGGAAACATGTCGCCTTCTTCTCAGGTTGTTCATCTGGCATTTAGAATGACAAAATAAACTTCCTTGGACCAGCAAGATAGCTCAGCAGGTAAAGGCACCAGTGGCTAAGCCTGGAGAGCCTGTGTTTGAGCCACATGGTGAGAGAGAGCCGCCTCCCATAAGTTGTCCTCTGACTCCTACACGTGCACTGTGGTAGATATGTGCAAGTGTGTATGCACACGCATTCAATTAGTTCAGTAAAACGTTAAAAATAACAACTTCCTTTTAGGAAACCATGGTTAGAGGTGACAGGCATCATTATTGCAATGTCCACATTTAAATAGCAAAATAAGAAGCTGGCAGCCTTTTGACACTGCCGTGTGTGTGTGTGTGTGTGTGTGTGTGTGTGTGTGTGAGAGAGAGAGAGAGAGAGAGAGACAGAGAGAGAGACAGAGAGAGAGACAGAGAGAGAGACAGAGAGACAGAGAGAGACAGAGAGACAGACAGAGACAGAAAGAGACATAGAGACAGAGAGACAGAGAAAGACAGAGACAGAAAGAGACAGAGAGACAGAGACAGAGAGAGACAGAGAGTATATGTGTATGACAGAGAAAGTGTGTGTGTGTATCTGTGTGACAGAGAGACAGAGAGAGGGTGTGTAAGAGAGAAAGACAAGAGCATGTGCATGTAACTGAAAGACAGTGTGTGTGTGTGTGTGTGTGTATGTATGTGTGTATATCAGAGAGACAGAGTATATGTATGTGACAGAGAGAGAGGAAAAAAAAGAGAAAGAGCTCCTGTTTGTGTTTGCGGGTGACAGAGTGACAGAGAGAAAGTGTGTGTATGGGAGGGGGGAGTTAGGATATTACAAAAATCTTGGAATTGTTTCAATTGAGAAATGAACCCTAAGTGACTTTGGGCTCTGGTCACTGTAGGCCCCAGAGGAAGGTGCGGGGGCACCACGGTTGGGCAGCCTGTTTCTAGGACAGCCTGAGACCGACCATTCTGTAGTAGCTCAGAATGCAAAGCCCCATGGGCCATGGGTGGGGAAGGGAAGGACTGCATTTCATTCCTTCACTCACTGAGGGCCTCGTTAGGAGCACCTGCTCCTTGTCTGTCAATCTGGAGAGCACCACGGGTCACACATGGGTTGTGACCCACTAATGGCCCATAAAATCAATTTAGCAGAGACTAAGAGGGCCAGCCACAACACAAAATAGGTGGAACCAAGCAGGAAAAAAAAAAAGATATCAGAATATGCCCAGGAAGCTAGGGAAAAAAATGTGAAGTCAGAGGGCCTTTGTGTCACTTGCTATGACCTTCCACAGGTACCATCGGAACACACAGACTCTGGACCACATAGTAAGGGAACACCCAAGACCCCGAGGTTAACAACAGTCAGGGCTCAGCACTCCAACAAAACAAGATGCAGTTGCCTTTGGATACTTATACCCAGGGACTGTGCGCTCTCAGTCCTGGCCAGGGAGGCTGCTCTGTGCGGCAGTCAGCGATTAACGCCGAGATCGACAACTGGTCAAAGCTCTGAGATTACATTGCTGAGAGCTCAGCCATAAATGGGACACCTACATCCACACCCCCACAGCTCAGTGACTATCTCAGAAGAGGGACCAGCTGGAGAGCAGCAGCAGTTTATGAAGCACCGTCTTCTGGGCGTGGTGTATCCAGGGCTGCCATGAATTCTCAGAAGCCGTGGTCACCTGCACCAGATGTGTAGAAGACGGGGCCTGGCAACATTCCAACATGGAATCAGGGAGAGGATCCTGAAGTCCCAGCCCTAGATAAGAAATTTTGGGGAGTTAACTATGGCGGCTGGGGGAGGGGGAGGGGGATCATTTTCCCCAGTGGTGTAGCATGAATCGCCTGTGACTGCAAAACAATTACCATCCATGTAGTCAACCCTACTTAACAACCACACACACACACACACACACACACACACACACACACAC